CGATGACAACGGAAGATTCCCTCATATATATATATATATATATATATATATATAATGCTATTAAAAGTTTAGTCACTAAGCTGATTGATTCTGTCTTCAGAATCCCAGCTCCAAAGTTTTGTACATAGAGCCTTCGAGAATTAATCCATCCACTCGTCAGGAGGTGTCAGCTATTGATTGCTTATATTCTCGATGTTTCTTTTTATATGCATTTTCATTAGTGAAAGATTATATATTGTTGTGGTGTCCTCCCTCTAAAGAGTCTATATTGGACTTTTCCGCCTATTATAAGATTAGTAGGAGAGAAGGCCCTGCAGGAACAGTTGAATAGATTGTTCATTACTGTTAAACTCTCTGCCTTGAGTAGAGAGGAACCCGGAATTTCGTCCGGGGAGGTAGACAGGTAATGAACCCGCTTAAGCGGGTTCTAAGAGAATAATTTTGGCCGACCCTACGGACTCGGAAAACCCACGGTAAACTCTGCCTCATGCCACATACATCCTCCGTGGGGGAGGGGGAGCTGTTAAACATTAACAGTCGGTTAGATTGAACGCTGGGTCATCCGGCATACACTCATTAGTCGTGTAATACCCTTCTGTTGTACTTACTGTTTAATATATTGATATATCTGAAACACTTGTTTTGTTATTTCTTTAATCATTAACTTAGTCACAACATACTTATATATTATATATGAGTATAAATATACCAATTTTGTTTACGTTTGCCAGAAAATTTGTAGACAAAATTACATTGGGTGTAAGCATTTATCCTATTTTCACTAACTTTTTCATGTCATGATGTGTCAGATTGGTTGATTTTCAAAATATATAATTATAGAATTTAGGAAATTCTATATTTATTAGGCACATAGTGCTCAGTCTCTGAGATAGAGCGTTTGTAAATATGTGGTCATGAAAAAACTTAATTCTTCATAGCAATTGCCAATTTCACACCTCCAGCGATCACCAAACCACGTGACCTGAGAATCGTATCGAATAATGTCTAGATAAACAGAGTAGTTATGGCATCTTACTATTTGCTTAGGAATGCAAACAGATGGTTATTTTTTTTTTAAATCCGTCGCTTCTTATAGAATCAAGACTTGTTTCTGCTAAAAATAACTGTAAATAATTTCTTAGTACGACGCATCTAAGTCGTTTGTAAATACTTCAATGTTTTCAGTCGGTGAAATAGGATTCTTCTCAGAAGACATTAACAGTTTGAAAAATTGAAATGTCTCCGTTCAAACTTCATTAGATTTATTAAGTATGAGGTCTAATTTTATTTCTCGCCATCTCAGTGCACACATTTGCAAGAAGGTTGTCGTTTGAAGCAGGACTACCGGCGAATTGATATCAGTTTAATTCGACTCATTTTTCCTCATTAAATATTGCTTAGATGTATTTTATAGGAGCAAGGTAACTTTAACCCCCAACAAGTTACAAGATGTTAGCACGGTGGAGTTGTTTTCCTCGAAATATAACGCACGAAATCTTAAATGCACATTATCCACATGTGCGTCTTTGATATTGAAACAGGTTGACTGCTAACCTTATAATTTTATAGTAAATTCACATCACTCAGCGTTATATTATATTAGAGCTACATAGAGAGACAGTTAGAAAAACAAATATAAAAGTTAGAAATGAATTAGCTGTGATAGATAATCGAGAGAATGTGATAGATAGATAGATAGATAGATAGATAGATAGATAGATAATGTACAGAATGTAATAGATAGATAGATAGATAGACAGATAGATAGATAATGAACAGAATATAATAGATAGATAGATAGATAGATAGATAGATAGATAGATAGATAATGAACAGAATATAATAGATAGATAGATAGATAGATAGATAGATAGATAGATAGATAGATAGATAATGAACAGAATATAATAGATAGATAGATAGATAGACAGACAGATAGATAATGTACAGAATATAATAGATAGATAGATAGATAGATAGATAGATAGATAATGTACAGAATATAATAGATAGATAGATAGACAGATAGATAGATAATGTACAGAATGTAATAGATAGATAGATAGATAGACAGACAGATAGATAATGTACAGAATATAATAGATAGATAGATAGATAGATAGATAGATAGACAGACAGATAGATAATGTACAGAATGTAATAGATAGACAATGTACTGAATGTGATAGATAGATAATGTACAGAATATGATAGATAGATAGATAGACAACGGAACACGCCTGCTCTTAAAGCGCATATATAACTATTTCTTAGTGAAGCATAGACCATGTGAATGTCAAATATCACGTTCAGTTTAAAGTATTTTACGTTTATTTCTATATTGATTTCTATTTCTATTTATTTATTTGTCTGACAGATATATATTTTCTATCTATCTATCTATCTATCTATCTATCTATCTATCTATCTATCTATCTATCATGTACATATCTGTCTATGTATACATCTGTATCTGCATTCGTTCACGGATGCGCTCGTG